AGGCCGGAGCCGGGGCGCGCCGCACGGGGCTCCAGTTTCGCCAGCCCCGGTGCTATTTAAAGGTGTCAGGTGGCTCCGCGGCGGCTCCTGGCCCCGGCTCCTGGCGGCGGCGACAGTTGGAAGCGCCGAGGCAAGGGCGCCGATCCCGGACTGCGAGGGGAGGCGGAGAGACGGGGCAATTGACTCTTGCTAACAAGTTCGCCTTGATGGAGGAGTAATCAATTATCTGCAGCAGCAGCAGGCACTTCGCTCGCTCCCCTTCTCTCTCCTTTTGCCCGGTCTTTCTCCTCTCTTCTTTCTCTCTCCTTCCCCTGTTCTCTCCCCCTCCTCCCTCCCTCTCTCTTCTCTTCCTGCTCCCCCCGTTTCTCTCCTTCTCTCCCTCGCCCTCGCCCTCTCTTTCACTCTCTGTCTGTCCAATGCAGGCGGCTCTAAGTTGGGAAGCTCATTAATTAGCGGGCCGGGGGTAGGAGGAGCCGGCTGGAATTAGCCTGCCTAATGCGCCTGTCAGTCCCGGCGCCGCGCCGCGCTCGGCCCGAGCTGTTTGTAAATTACATTAGCAGCGCCTTGATGGCACCCGAACCTCGGGCGACCGCCACGCCACCGCCCCCACCCCAAACTGCTAGCCCTGCGCTGGGCGCACCCGCCTCCCGCCGGCCTGACGTCCAGGGCAGCGCTGGCCCGGAGCTTTCGGGCTCTCGGACCAGAGATCGGCAGCGGCGCGCCCGCCGCGCTGGCCAGGTAAGTCCAGGAGTTACAGTGGGCCCCGCGGCCGCGCAGCTCGGGACTTGGCCGAGCGGAGATCGGGACCCAGAAGCACCCCTGTCCTCAGACCCTCTGGTCCCACTTTCCCCCTCCCAGGACCCTACTTCTGGGGAGAGGGATTCCTCACCCTTCCCCCACCCCCTGGCCCGAGGGAGGTCCGGGAGGGCTCCGCAGCCCTGGGTGGGGCGACAGGGGACGCAGTGGGGGCGGGGAGGGGGGACTCCAGAGCTGGGAGAGGCGGCCAGTCGGAGGACCCAGCCCTCCCGTAGGCGAGCGGCGGAGTGGGGGGAGTTGCTGGTGGCTCTGGACGCCTTTCCCCCTGGCCTGAGCCCGAAGCGGCAGCCCTACCTCCGGTGGCAATCGCGCGCGTACTCTTTCCTCCCGCACTGCCTCTCAGGCCGACTGGGGCCACTACTCTCCGGAGGGCTGGCATCCGAAGGGCAGCCGGGGCCGGGTTTCGGGACTCTCCGGGCGACTCGGGGCCTCCCTGCGGCCCTCTGCCCGGCCTGGGCCTGGGCCGGGGCCCCGCGGCCGGCCCCGCCCCGCCCAGCGCCAGGCTGGAGTGCTGAGCCCGGCCGACTCCAGCTGTTCCGGATGCCGAGCGGGGACTTGGTGGGCCGGGCCACTGCTGGGGCTTGGCTCTCAGGACCCTGCAGGATTGGAGTCAGGTTGGGGTGGGAGAGGGCCCCCCTCACGGCCCGGACTCGACATACCCGGTGTATACTTTGTGTGCATCGGTATTTGGAGGTGTCATGGTTAGCTTGGCCTTTGAAATGTGTGTATTCGTGTGTGCTTCTCCGCGTGTATCTTTGTGTAAACGTTTGTGAACCCGTGGGGATTTCGGCGTGGCGGACGGGTACCTGTCTCCTCCATTTCCCCAGGTACCACGGTGCCTCGGGCCCTCTTTTCTCTGGCTTCTCGGTCTGATTTGTGTGGGACTGCTGACCCCCTTGCCCAATTTTCCGTTTCTACCCTCCGAGAAACAAGGAGAGGGGGCTGCAACTAAGGGAGGGAGAGACCCTCCGGGAGAGAACCCCCCCCCCCACAGCACAGTCGCCCAGCCCCAGTCCCCCCAGCCCAGGCAGCTGGGCCCTTCCCTGGCTTTGTTTGTAAACTCGTGGCTGGGGGAGCACGTGGGCAGTCCCGCTTGGACCAGAGAAGCTCCTAAAGTGGCTGGCCACGAGGGGTTGTGCACTGAGCAGGCTCACCAGGGCTCTCACATCTGGTGGGCAGAGAAGCTGGCTCAGGACAGGAGGTAGGTTCTCACAAGGCTTCCTGCATGGGCTGGAGGTGCCCTTCGCCCCCAAGGGAGGCTTCTTTCTTTATCTCAGCGTTTGGTTACTGGTTTGGAACCATGCTAGCAGCTCTCCGGTGTCAGATGTGATGAGAAAGGATTTTTGCTGGGGGGTGGGCAGGCTTGAGAGTGTCGGGAGAGCTCTTTCCTCTTTCCCCATCTTTGCCCTGCAATTGCAGGTGGTAGTGCAGGAGGGGGGCAGGAATGGTGAGGATGGGGATCCCAGTTCCCTCAGATACAGGCATTTCTGCCCTGTCTGCTGCATCCTATTGCCCTGAGAGCCTTGGGATGATGCCAGGCCTAGCCAGGAGGAAGTTATCTCAAGGGGAGAGTCCAGAGGCCAATGAAGAGGGGGCACCAGAGGGAGGGGACACCCTGGAAGCGAACCCTGCAGCCTGGAAGCTCAGACCACCCCCACCCGCCCGCCCTGTCCTTATAACCTCCGCTTATAGCTGGCTGCCTTTCCTGCCACAACCCCAAACCTCCTGACTCTGCCCCTCAGGCAGACCGCAAACACCCAGCGAAGAGCTTAGGGACCAGGGATTTGGGGGCCCTTGTGTTCCGAGAGGCTCCTCCCAACCCCCCATATTCTTCTTGTCTGCTTTAGTCTATGAACCCAGTGTTGCTCTGCAGGACAAGACCTTGAGGAGAAGCCCAGCCCTGGCTGTTGCCCAGAGCCCTCACTCTCCAGACCTCCAGCAAGGCTGCCCAGGAGGAGAGGGCTGGGATTTCAAGAAGAGAAGCAGAGGACAGGATTCCTACCTGGAGCCTTGCTCCCTGGGGCCTTTAGTCTTTGGTCAGTCAAGACAAAATGGAGAGGACGTTCCTATACCTGCCCCAGAGATGGGGGAGAGAAAGGTGGCTTTCAGAGAGCCGACCGGTTCGCTGTATTACCTCTTTCAGCACCGGCTGTCAAGCCCCTCCCTTCCTGCCCTGTGTTTCCACCTTCCCTTTCCTGACTCATTGCTCTTTGGGCCAGTTGGTCCACATCTCTGGTCAAACCCGAGGGACACACCACAAGGGGAAAGGCCGACCGGGAGCATGTGATGCCACCCTGTCTTGGGCCCCCAAACACCTCCATCTTCTAGGTCATCTTTGAGGCCAGCCCAGCTGTCCCACCTACTCTCTCAACTCATGATTTCACTTGCCCACCTTGGTGCTAGTGTCTCTGGTATCTTGGGTTCGAATCTTCTGGCCTCCTGCACCCCACCTTGTCTGAGTTGGGTTTTGGATTTGTGGGTTGGACCTTCCCCTCAAGACTTAGAGATCCTTGAGGAGAGAGGGTCTCAACTTGGGAATTCTGTTTGCCCCATCTGCACCTGTGCGCAGGCCCGGGGCACTGGGCACCCTCAGCTGATTCCTTGAATGAGTCTCCACAGGGTAAATGGGATGTAAGTGACTGTCTCATTGGGAGGGAGATGGTTTTGGAGATTTTGAGAAGCCAAATGGAGAATGACTCCCACAGTGGAGGCTGGGAAGCTGGGGAGGTACCCCACCAATCACCATCAGGGCTCAAACCATTTCTCCACATCCAGCCCACTGACCTGAGGTAGGCAGGAGGCCAAGTTCCCACTTTAAGGTGCCCACGCTTCAGTCAGCTGGGCCACTGTCATCTTGCCCAGAGCTGGAAGCAGCTGGTCCGTGGAGTCTGCTCTGTCTTTTGCCTTCAGAACCTGATCTTCACTGTATCCTAATCTCTGATGTCTGCTCACCGCCTATCAGATCCTCTCCAGTAAAAGAGGAAGAATTCACTTTAGGGAATCATCCACACACAGAAGAGGGAAGCATTGTTGCCTGCATCACCGGAATAAGGGGGCCCTGAAGACCCAAGCAAAATTCCTTAGTTACTCCTTAGCACAGGGAACTCAGTCATGTTAGGGATGCTCCCCTCCTCCCACCTCACCCCTCCATGGGCTCCATTTGACCCAGTCTGCATTTCTTTGGTAGTATCATTCCTTCCCAGTGATCCAGGTAAACACTAACATTGGCTCTTGAGCCCGAGCCTCCCTTTGAAAAGAGAATCTAAAAAACAAAAACAAAAAAAGAAAAGGGAATCTGACAGGGCGTGAAACAAATGAACTTTCTCCCCCACTCTGCACAATCCAGGTAGTTTTGTCCCTTGAGGATGTGCTCTTCTGACACCCCACCCCTCTGATGCTCCCTTTGAATTGAGGGAGCTCCCACTACCTGGAGATAGACTCTACCAGACCTGCCTCCTGCTGCCCTCATTGAGCCAGGGCTGCCCAGTTTGGTTTTTAGATTCTGCCCTGGGCCATTATAGTAACAACAATCACCATGACAACAAATATGGCAACGCCCTTACCAGGTGTCAGGCTCCAGGCTAAGTCTTCAGGCCCGCTTTCATTTCTTATTCTACCCTAAGAGGCAGCAACTGCTAGCACTTCTACTTTATGCATAAGGAAATGAGGCACAGAGAGGTTATGTGACCTGTCCAAGACCACACAGCCTATTTGGGAGTGATCAGGATTTGAAGGCTGTGTTTTTCAGACTCAGTTGTGTGCTTCGCATCCCCAAACTGGGAGAAAGATG